CTATGCCTCTTCAAGACAAGATGAGAGAAGAGACTTCTTCAATAACTAGACTCCTCTAAGAGATAAAGAGGTAGTTAATATCATTGCTGGTGATTTTAATATCAATATTAACTCAGAAAAAGACTGTATTAGTCAAGCTCATACTCAAAAAGATCTATTTAGTGATCTTCTTAAAAACCTTGTATCAGACTTTACTGATACAGCAGAAGCCTCAAGATCAGGTTCATTTCTAACCTTTTATCAGACCACTCAGGATAATCAAAGAATGGCCACATGATTAGACTACATCTTCATTAACTCTAACTATAGCCAATTCTGCAAAAATACCTGTATTCATTTTGGAAACTCTAACATCTTCTTGTAGAAAGTGAAATAGTCTTTAATTCAGAACCTGCATTTAGTTCTTTCTGGAAATTTAACAGAAAGATTTGGTTAACCTCAAATCTTAAATCAGAAATCTTCAGAGAAATAGAAAGTATTCAAGATGTTAACAACTAAAACTCTCATAAGGTTATTTTCTAATCAATATACAGAGCTTTTAAGCCAAAACCAGAACCAGAAAAAACAATAGATTCTATTCACAAAAGACTAGTCACAATTAACAACAGAATTGCAAAAAATCCAATTCTAGAAGATCTTCAATTTATAGCAGAGAATCTCAAACTACAACTACAAGAAGAGCTTACACTTCTCTCAGAAAAGTAGCAAATAAGGTCTAATACCAAATAGATAGAAGAAGATGAAAAATCTACTAAATACTTCTTCTCACTCTATAAATCTAGACATTCTATTTCATATAGTGTCAAAATTATAAACCCAAACAGTTTCAGTATACCAACTCTCTCAAACTCACTACAATACATCAGAAACTCCTACTAGGATATCTACAAAGCAGATCCAATTAATCTTAATGCAGCAAAGGAACTGATACAAGGCTCCTCTACAGTCTCATTAGACCAAAATAATGCTCTAATCAGAACTATAACAGAGGACGAAATCAACAAAATTATTGATGCACTTCCAAATAACAAATCTCTAGGGCTTAATAGTTTAACATATGAGTTCTATAAGGATACCAAAGAAAAAATTACTCCAGTTCTAACAAAGCTTTTTAATCTGATCCTTGATTATGGAACTAGTCTTCATTCATGATGCAAGAGTATTATCATATTTATACTCAAAAATTCTGATAATTTAAAAGATATTAACAACTGGAGACTGATCTCACTTGTCAACTGTGATGCAAAGATCTTCATAAAAATTTTAGCTAATCGACTAAACCCTATCTGTAATAAAATTATTGGCCCTTCTCAACAAGCTTTTATAGCTAACAGATTAATTTTATGAATCTCACACTAGAGAAGATGAGCTTCAGTTCAAAAATAGTTAACATAATTAATAATTTATTTATAATACAGCAAGCTTATATATAAGATCAAGGAAGAATATCAGAACCCTTCAAGGTTGAAAGAGAAGTTAAACAGGGTGATCCACTCTCGCCACTTTTCTATATTCTAGCAATAAATCTACAATAATATTGGAGGTATAAGCCTTCAAGACCTTCTATTCAAGGTTGTAGCCTATGCAAATAATTTGACAATAGGCATCAGATCTTTTTCTGACTGGTTTAGCCTTAAAACTATACTTCAAAAATATGAGTTCTAACTTCAAAATCAACAAAACAAAGTCAATTTTAGCTCCTCTTACAGATTATATACTCTGAGTAGAGCTCCCTGATATGAATAGTTTCAAAATATTAGAGAACAATAATGAATATCTCAAGATTCTTGGTTTCGAGATAACTATCAAAGGAAGTATTAAAAAGAACCTCTGGTTTAATCTTACTAAAAAAATCAAAAAGAGCATTCACAATCTTTCATCAAGAAATCTATCATTCAAAGGCAAAATCTTAATAGCAAAGACTCTACTAATTTCTAAAATTTGGTATATCAGCTTACCTTCTTTCTTCTAGCAGGAAACAACTGAATGTGATAAATACTTTTATAAGCAACTGGACCAAGAACAACTCAAAGCTACTTCCTTAATACTCAATATTTCAGCTAAACTACAAACATGGAGATCTTCAGCTCCAATCTTAAAAGATATACTTGATGCTAAGCTAACTTTGATCTGACTTAAACTTCTATCTAGTAACTTCTTTTGGACAAAAGCAAAGAGAATCTCTGCTACTTACAAAGTTCAAAATACTAGAGGCATTCCAGCATTCCAAATTCTAACTCTAGACTCTATTAAGTTCAGAGGTTGGTCTGATCATTGAAAACCTTATTTAAATGCCTGGAAAAAACTAAACAGATGAATAAATACAATACAAAGCTAGCCTTAGCTTCTAGAGCTTATTAAAATTAATGATGCTCCTAGTGAAACTTACTCTGTAAAAGCAGCAGTTAGGGCTCTCTACTATAAACCTACTACTAATAGTATTCCTCTTATCCATAACAAAGAGTACGAACAAGATCCTAAAGTTTTTAACTGGTTCTATACTCAAAAGGTTCTTAACAAAAAAAAAGGATAATTCTGGTACTTTATTTATAAAGCTCTACCACTTGGATACTGCCTAGTACATATTTCAAGAGACGATATAGGCTGCTATCCAAATTGTCCTGATACTGCTCAAATATTATTTCATTTTGCTTTGGAATATGAAATTAGTTAAAGAATATGGAAAAAATATATCAAGCCCTAGATATCGTATCGAGAGATAGTTACCTATCCTCTCTAGAAAAAATTATTCTAGCTATGAATATTCAAGATATCTCAAAATATAAATCAGCTCTTTGGATATACATAAATACTCTTTATAAAATCTGGTGCTAATATACACAAGCTAAATAGGGCAACAAAATTATTAGCGAAAAAGCAATCTCTAATGTTACTAAAATTAGATTTAAAAAAGAACTCAAAATCATACAAAAAACTCTTTCACTTAAAATATGTAAACAAAATTTTTTTTCAATCTCAATAAAAAGATGTACTTTTGAATAAAAATAAAAATAAATAAATAAATAAATAAATAAATAAATAATAATAATAATAATAATAATAATAATAATAAAACATTTAAACAATACTTAGAACACCTTAAACAAGTATTTAAACACCTCAAGGATACTAGTTTAAAGTTGAACTCTGAAAAATGCTTTTTTTTAAAACAAAAACTACTCTTTCTTAGTCATATAATTAGTGAAAAAGGTATTGAGACTGATCTCTCTAAAATACAGACTATACAAAATTACTCTATTCCTCAAAATACTACTCAACTCCGAGGATTCTTAAGCCTTGCATTCTACTACTGTAAATTTGTAAAAAGCTTCTCTAAAATAGCTAAACCCTTGAATAGATTACTTAAAAAGAAAATAGATTATGTCTGAACTACTAATCAACAAAATGCCTTTTAAAAATTAAAGAACTGTTTAACAACTTCACCCATACTCATCTACTCTAACTTTGAAGAACCATTCTTGATCTATACTGATGCATTAACTATTGTCTTAGGAGCAATACTCTCTTAAAAGTATAAGGATAATAAGGAACATATGATAGCCTATGCTAGTCGAACTCTAAACTCTCATAAAAAAAATTATTCAATTACTAAACTAGAATGCCTAACAGTAATTTGGTTCATTAAACATTTTCATCATTATCTGCATAGACAAAAATTTACTATTATCACTGATCACTCTGCATTAACTCACAGTTAACTTTACTAGATGCCTTGAACATTAGATAATAGTTTTAAATAGATATAATTTAATGTGATTAATTAATCTGAATGTGTATATTCGAACATAGATCTACTAAGTGGAATACAATTTTAGGAAACAACTTCTCTCTAATTTATTAATTGGATATTATCTAGTAAACATTACTAACAGATACTTATATTGATAATAACAGATTATGGATTCAAGCACATATTATATACTAGTATAATTTCTTACTGATCACACTCTGTCTAATAATTTGAATAAGGATGAACAAAGGAAAATTTAAAACAAAACTCGATATTTTATAGTAGTGAATAGGATACTCTATAAGCAAAATAAAAAGAAACCTACTCGACCTTTCAAAGTAGTAAAACATAATGAAGTAAAAACAATTTTATATAACTTGCACTCTAATCCTCTTGCTAGACACTTTGGAATTGATGAAACTTTTAGATGAATAGCTTTTTGATATTATTAGTCTCAAATGTTTGAGAATATTAGAACCTATGTACAATCTTATGAGGAATGCCAATGAAAAGACAAACTTACTTGAACTAAACCTTTATATCCTATAAAAGTTAAACAATCTTTTAATCGAGTAGGAATAGATATTGTTGAACCCTTACCTACAACTGAATGAGTCAATAAGTATATTGTAGTTGCTATTAACTACTTAACTAAGTAGCCTAAAGCTCAAGCTCTAACTAATACTAAAGCTACCTCAGTTATACTATTCCATGAGGATATAATTAGTCAATATAGATGTCTTAAGGTCTTACTAACTGATAGAAGAACTCATTTTGTAAATGAAATACTGAACTCTCTTTGTGAACAATTAGGAGTAAAGTATAAACTCTCTTCTGCATATCATCTTTAAACTAATAGACTTGTTGAATGTTTTAACAGGACTTTGTGTGAAACTCTAGTAAAGTTCTCTAATGAAAACAAGGATGATTAGGACTTGTATATACTGTCAGCTCTTTTTGCCTATAGGACTATAAAGCATAAGGACATGAAGTAACCTTTCCTATAGAATTTCAAGTGGAAACTTTAAACTCTAAAACACAAGGAGAGGATGACCAATAGGATTTACTATAAAGGATATACCATCTAATAGAAAAATTACAAGAAAAAAAAAAAACTCTTTCTGGTTTACTACCAGAAACTAACAAACTACTAAAATTTTATTAAAAATCTCTACAAAACTCTCACATAATTTAGAAAAAAAGGCTTCTGCTCTAACTACAAAAAAAAAGAAAACCTCTGTTTCTAACTATGAGTAGTTTATCAACAAAAAGATCTAAGACAGTAGATACAAGAACCAAAAAAAAATCTTTAACTTGTCTTCGCTAACTGAAGAAAACTAGGAAGCAGATAACAATACTTCTAAGGAAACTCTTAGAGAAAACCAAAGCTCCTTTAAAACAAATAAGCAAAGAGAAGAAAATACACAAGCTAACTTAGAAGACCCTCTCTTGAAGAATAAAAGAAAAAACAAAGAAATTTCCTCTATGGAAAATGACAAAGAAAATAAAACACATGAAGTAAAAGAAAATCTAAAAAACAAACAAAAATACGTAAATACTACATGTAACTTGTCAAACACAACAAAGACAAATAAACCTAATAAGGAATCAGATGATCAATAACCTGATCAAGCAAAAAGCAACCTACTAAAAGTAAATAATAGTCTGACTTATTTTTCAAATTGAAAGGTAGCAAAGCTATATTTGTTAATACTACTCCAAGATATAGGATTCATTCCAAAGAACCTTCTAAATATCTCAACTAATGATATTATTCTAGCTCTTGCTACAAAATTAAGTAACAATCTACTTGCTGCAAAAACTCATCTATTCAGAGGGAAATATATATATCTTGAAATAGTTTTTGTTAGCAAAGAGGTTCAACAGAGATTTATAACAGAGTGAATTAATATCTTCAATCAAACTCTTTTTGGTTATATCCTAATTAACTTCAAACAAAGCTTTCTCTCAGTAAAGCTTAGAAATATGCCTATAGGAGATAAAGTTTCTATTAATAATTTAGTCAAAGATGCTTTTCAAGACATAGGCACAATTGTCTCTATAAAACTACTAACATATGAAGGAACAATAGTTTGCTCAGACCAATAGATAATCACCTTTGAGACAACTAATGATCCTGATATTGCTCAAAGAATACTAAGACAGACTCACATTAGTGATTATAAAATTACAACTAACTGGAAGGATAATTCTCAGTAGACTAAAAACAAAAACAAAAAAAAAAAATTAAAAAGATTAAGAGAAAGCACCAGACTAGTGCTAATATTCAATCTAGCTTCAGCTTAGATAATCTTTACATTTCTGATATTGCTATTGAAAATTCTAATAGCTTAGCTGAACTAGATATCACACCTACACTTTCCAATTCACAAACAGATAAGGTTCAACCTACAAATCCAAAGAATAATCTTAATAGATCACTAATTTCAAATAACAATATCACTTCTACTCTGAACCAAAATTCAGATAAAGAAATGAAAATGGAAACAGATTCTTCAAGTACAATTACTACAACCTCTGAACTTGAAGAAAATACATCTAATGCTGAGAGTGCAGAAACTGTATTTACATCAGCAAAAAAGAAAAAAGAAAATAAAAAAAAGCTCTAAGCTTCAAATAATAGAACCCAAGTAGTAGAAACTAAAGCCACTTCAAAAGAGGCTTCTTATTTATAAGATTAATAGCAATACCCACTATACGTATGGCCAACTGCTCAATTAATATTTCAATCTTTCCATATGATTAAAATTGCTACACTAAATGTTAAAGGCCTTAACAATAATATTAAGGCCCAAAAAACTTTAACACTATTAAAATCCTACAAACTAGATATAATACTACTTCAAGAAACAAACTTAAATGATTTAGCAACAAGAAAATTTCTTTCTTAACAATAGGGATATGACTCTGTTTAGTCAGCTAAGGCTGCTACTTTAGCTAGAAAACTAAACATAAAATGTAATAACAAAAAGATTACTCACAATAACAGAGTGATCATAGTTAGCTTCTCTTTTAAACAATATTAATTTATAGCTACAAACATTTATACACCTCTGAATCTGGAACAAAGATATTAATTTTTTAATAATTGGGCCCTAATAGCAGATGATAATGCTCTAAATATAGTAGCAGGTGACTTTAATACAAATCTCGATTCAGAAATTAACTGTATAAGCCAAGTACTTCTACACTATGATAAATCAAGAGACCAACTTAAAGAATTAATAAAAGACTTTATTGATACTGCTAATTTCATGAAGAATGATCTCTTCATTACCTTTTATCAGAATATACAAAACAACTAATGAATAGCAATATGTTTAGATTATATCTTTGTTAATACAAGTTTTGGACAACTTAACTTTAAAACCTCAACTTGATATAGAAATTCTGACTACCTCTTGGTAGAAAGCAGAATTAGTCTTGAAAATTTGACAAAAAATGCTGGTTTAATAATATGCTAAAAACTGAAATTCTAGCAGAAATTAAGAATTTCAGCAATATCAAAGACTGAGACCTTTATAAATACATTATTCAGTCAACAATTAGAGCATACAAACTAGCTCCTGCTTCAGAAAAAACATGCAACATTTATATAGAAAACTCAATAAGTTCAACATCAAATTGGCTACAAATCCTAAGCAAATTAACTTCTATCTTATAACTGAGCAACTAAAAACTCAGATCCAAGAAGAACTAACATCACTCTTTGAAAAGTAGCAAATAAGGTCTAATGCAAAGTGGATTGAAGATAGTGAAAAATCAACTAAATACTTCTTTTCACTTTACAAATCTAAATATGCATGCACTAGTACTGCCAAAATCAAGGATCCTAACAATCAGAATATAAACA